ACAGGGAAAGGGTAACACACATGGGGCACTCCACTGAGAATGAGACGGGCAGGCCTGCACGAAGGGAGTGTGCTTCAGCAACCTCGGTGTGCGGGACAGGGCGCCGCCCAGTTACAATCAACAAAATCACTTCCACGTAGTTCAGCAAAAAAAAAAAAGGGGGGAGGGTTATTTAAAAATATAGGAAGATGTTTAAGGGGGCCAGAAAATTAGCCTGGGTGGCAATCCAACCAGGAGCACCATTCAAGCCCTGTGACAGGGCTAATGCCCCAGTGACCCTTGCAGCAGCCTCTTCTGGGCACCCACACACCACAGCTTGCACCACTGATGTTGGGCCCGGAACGCTGCCCTCTGTCCCGGCTGACCCCTGAGGTCCGATGCGTCGGCTGTCACCCTTCCAGACGGTGGATTCCATTATGGTGCCTGCTTAATTAGAGGTGATCTGGGGACAGATGATATGTAACAGGTACCCCTCCCATTTTCACCTGTTGGCCCTTTATTCTGACTTTGGGAGAAAGTGCACCATCTATTGGTCGCTGGTTCATAGCACACCTAGTATCCTATAGGGAGGCATCTCGTTCTCTCAAGGAACTCTGTCTGCTGGCGCAATAATGGAGCGTTTAATGGGCTGTTCCACCATTCATAAGGCCTTCTGTTTTAGGTGATGGGATAAATGGTAAGATTAGAAATCCTATAGGCCTATCTGTGGTCTCCCATCACACTGTAAATCAACTCTGGTGGGAAGCATTGTTGCATGGAAATACATGATAGTGAATAAGGCAATTTGGTAAGTCCCTAAAAAGTGCTGCTGGCCAGAGAACCCAAATCCAGAAAGAGCAGTTTTTCCAGTGAGGACAAAATGGTTGCCCTCTCCACAAGGGAAGGGCCTCCACTATCATTCCCCTCCTGGGTGTGGTGTTATAACAAGTCTTGGAGTTAGTTACTGCTGCTCAAGGTTAACCGGCCCTGGTGAGGAGTCCTTATTGGGCTAATGCATTCTCTCTATTCCTGAAACCACGGCCACTTTGTTCATGAGGCCACTGAGCGAGGGAGGCTGGGGAAAGGGAAGGATGGGGAAGGCAGCTGTCCGCCTGCATACAGACCTCCTCCACAGCGGGAACTCATGACTGTTCCAGTGGGACACACATAGTCTTCCATACCGGGGCGTGTTCTGAGGTGTCCATCCACATTCCTCTTCCTCAGACCTCCTTTTCATGTTGCTGGCCATCCTTTCAAATTGGGAGCCGGTGCCCCTGACATGGTGAGCATGTGTCTCTCAGGCCTTCTCTCCTTGCAGGCAAAGTGTACAAAGTGGGCCACTCTGAGTTCTGCTCCTCTGGGAGACCTCATTTCCCCACTGTCTCTCGCTCCAGCGGGGCTGAAATGCCCCAGCAGTTAAATTCCAGCAGGTGCCAGCAAAACTTGCAGAGCTATCTGCCAACCAGTTTTGGCCTCTTTTCCGCCTTGGCCAACTGCTCATTGGGAATTTCCCGTGGGACAATGGTCGCGAGGGAGGGTACCACGGAGGCAGGCAGGAGGCACAGCGCAGGATAAGGTGCTGACAGCTTCAGCATTTCATGAGGACCCTTAGGCACATGGAGCTCAGTGCTATCCTAGTCCTCGTCCACCAGAAGAGGATGCACTGCAGGGCTGGGCCCACTGAACTTTCGGCTTCGTGGATCGCATCACTCCTGGTTCAAGATGGGCAGTTTAGGTCACCCAGTCACCTAGTGTCCTGTGGTCAAGCCCTCAGTAGCAAGCCCCCAGAGCAGGTAGTTCTTTTCAAAAGGAGAATGATGACTTGCATAAGAGAGCTTGGCTTGGCTCCAAAAGCTAAGAGGCTGCAGCTGTACTTCCTATGAGGACAAGGGGTAGGTAGGCTCCTCACAGCATCCACGGTCAGCCACCGCGCTCAGAGCACCGTTCAATCTCCTGGGTCACGGGGCAGGAATGCAGAGCTGCTTAGAGTGGGCCCAGGCCAGGCAGAGAGCCCTCTCTTGCTCAGGCCTCCATTAAAAGTGACTGAGTCAGAGCAACAAACTCAAAGGTGGCCTGGGTTGCCTTCAGATGCCAGAGTTCCATCAAGCATCTGTGCCTCTCTGTGGCACTAATGGCTGCAGTTTTTACAAAGCTATGGTATTGCTTTTGTTTGGCCATTTTGGTTGCAAGGGGAACCTAAGGAGGATGTGACCTTGACCCTCCAATCATAGACACCCTTACTCCGTGGGTCGGAATCGTTGTGGGGATTCTGCAGTTGCTGAGGGGAGCTGTTCCCACTTAGATCAGGAACTGGGGGAGCCGCCACGCACCTTTTCACTGAGAAAATGGAGGCAGTCAGCAGGGAACTTCCAGTCTACCTCCACCCCATGTGCCCTGTTTCCAGAATCGGCGCCCGCTTAGGGGCTGTTCTCCTACAGCGCACGTTTCTGTAATGGGCATTAACTCCAATATTGAGGCTCAGTCGGTGGATGATGTCACTATCATGTGGAAATTGGGTGGGTTCACAAGTGTTTTTTTTCCCCCAGCACATTAATATTTTATGCACCAGATAAAAGCAGCCGAATGCGAAGGACAGCAGTGGAATAATTTAAATAAGCAGTTGCAAGAGAACAAGGTACCTTACATGATGCCTGTTCACCACACCTGCCTCTTCTTGGTTCAGGGTGGCCACGGGTGCTGTCTTGGAAGTGCTTACAGTACCACTCAGCAGCTTCCACCCTTCCTTCTACCAAATTCTAGCAAGCGGCCTTTGCCCTCTTCTTGAAAAGGTGAAATTCTTTAACTGATGTATTTATTATATCTATGTTTTTTTAAAAACTATGTTAATTGGTGTTCTTGTTAGTGTGCACGTTACAAAGTTTGATGGGTTTGGAATGGTTGGCCCCAATATAATTTTTTTTCCCTATAAATGGCTATTTTCAGTGCACAAATTTGAGAATAAAAAAATTTTTTCAGGAGCACATTTATCATGTTATTGCAGGAACGTCTGTATGCTGCTTTCCTACTTGTAACCATGGAGAAATTATTCACGCTCTTATCGAAAGCTAATTCCTTCACGTGGGCACTGCCTTCATCCCCTTATCTGAGGACACTGCTCCAGCATTTATCCTCTTTTTCCTGCTTCATCAGTTTTTCACCTTTCCTGGTACAGTCTCGTCAACATAAAAAAAAACATGCTGCTACTTGTCCCACTTTAAAAAAATCACTCTCTTGATTCCACACACTCTACCAACATACTACCTCCATTCTTTGCTCCCTTTTTTTATCAAAACTAGTTGATAGAGTTGTAGATACTACCTCCAGCTCTTTTCCTATTTTCTCATATGCTGAATCCAGTCTGGTTTTGTTTCTTCTCCATTCCACCAAAACTCGCACTGTTAAGTTCATGAACGACCTTCATTGCTAAAGTCAGCAGTCAATTTCCAGTCCTTACCTGAGTTGGCCAGTTAGCAGCATTTAATAGTTCATCACTCTCTCCCATACCCTTTGTTCATTTGCCTTCCAAACAGCCATTCTTCTTTTCCTCCTGTGTCACTTGTTCCTTCTTGGTCTCCCTTGTAGATTCCTCCCCTTCCTCCGAGGTCTTGGAGCTGGAGGAACCAAGGGCTCAGCGCCGTTCCTCTTCCTTCCTCTCCTGCACATAGTCCTTTGGTGATTCCATCCAGTTTCATGGCACCTATGTGCTGAAAGTCCCCAAATTTGTATCTCCAGAGCAGATACAAATTTTCTTTTCCTTAAACTGCATCCTCATGTATTCGATCGCCTACTCAACATCTCTACTTGGTGTCATACACATGTCAAAATAGCAGGTCTAAAATTGAACTTCCAACATTTCCCACCCAACCTGCCCTTCTTGTGGCCTTTCCCCTCTCATTTGGTAGAAACTCCATTGCTCCTGGTGTTGGGCCAAAATTTGCAGTCATTGCTGTCTCTTCTCCATCTATCACACCATACACACATCAAACACATCAGCAGATCCTGCTGGTTCTATCCTGAAAATACACCCAGAATCCAGCTGGCCTCTTACACATTTGTTGCTACCACCCTGGGGTGAGCTATCCTATTCTCTCACCTGGATCACTGCAAAAACAAAACAAAACAAAACAAAAAAACTCCAACTGGTCTCTCCCCTTCTAAAATTGATTCATAATACAGCAGTCGTATTGATCCTGTAAAGTATATTAGACTGCTACCTGTTCAAAACTCTCCAGTGGCTTTGAGACCAAGTCAAAATAACAGTCTTCAAGGTTTTACACAGTCTAACCTGCCATCCCCACCTGCCACTCACTCAGTCTTTGCGCTCTCCTCTTGCTCACTCACTCTGCTCCAGCCGCCTTTGCCTCTGCTGCTGTTCCTTAAACACAGCAGTCCCTCTCCTGCCTCAGGGCCTTTGTGCCTGGCTATTCCATCTGCCTGGAACGCTCTTCCATGTTCTTTAAATATCTGCTCAAGTCTCATATTCTCATGATCTATTTAAAAATGTAAAACACTTCTGCCCATCATCCTGAATTCCCCAATCACTTTACTCTGCTTTCCTTCCCAACTCTGTCAGTTCTCACCTTCTAACTTTTGAAATAAATGACTTACTCGGTCTATTGTTTCTCCCACTGGAATGTTTGGGTCTCACGAGGCCAGGGATGTTTGTTCGGTTCCCTGATGTGATGCTAGGCTTAGAACGGTGCCTTGGCGGATAGCAGGTATGCAATACACATTTGTTGTATGAATACATGATAGGCTCAGGTCCCACTGAGCTCACTCTGAGGTGCTCTCAGGTGAAAATCCCACTTATCACCCGTGGCCAATAGCCCCACTCTGACCAGTGGATCTTGATACTGGGCCTAGGTCACATGCCCCACCAGAACTGGAAAACAAGTTTCCTGTTTCCACTTTAGAGAGGCGGGATTCCCCGAATATGAAAAGACTGTTGAAATGTTACTAAGGCAGCCAAGAAGCTAAGCCACTACGTTAAGTTACTGAAATAAAAAATCATTTTTCACCAATTTTCTGTTTCATGCAGTGCACACAAGGGATGCATTTAATTTAAATAAGAATGAGGTGACAATTTATTAATGCTTTGAGAAAAAACTATTTTCTACCATATTGGAGGATACTGGCTTAATTCATACTGTTATCATTCCCACTGATGTTTCACACAATTCAAGACATATAACATATAAAAGGAGTTAACTTTTCATATTAAACCTGATTTTCTGAACGTATAATTTTATGTACAGTATTTTGAATATAGAAACCAACTTAGTAGAAACCATAAAAGTTTCTATATTCAAAAAAATCTGATAGTTATTCTATTACCAACCTGTGACAATTTTGATACACTTCATGAACCTCTGAAAATTTTTGTTTTGTTGATGCTCATAAACCCTGCAGGCGGGGCAGAGCTTTTCCCATTCTCACAGAATACTAAGTTCAGGAGCACTTTAGTTTAATATTTATTAGTTGTTCTTTGTCAGAAACATGAAGCCCTTCAGAGACTAAAGCAGAAACACATACTAAAACCTGCGTCCAGCAGCCACGCCTCCTGTGTTCGGGGGCATTTGTCTGCTTGAAACTCGGTGGCACTATCAAGATCCTAGAGACAACCGCTGCTGCTGGAGGGCTGACATTCAAGGACTTGAACATGGCTCACGGTATCTAGCCTGCTATATCTGGAAGAGCATGACTTCTTATATTTGTATATAAATGCATCTGTTTTCCCAAGGCTTACTTTGTAGCATTCCAAGGGCACCAAAGAGCCAAATGGTGGCATTTTGGGTAAGCATTCTTGGTTACTGGCTTCCAGTGAAGGTGACACTGTCTCTGATATGCCTGTTTTTTCTTCACGAATCAAATACTTTTCAGCTCCAGGTTCATCTGTGTGGCTGCCTTTGGAATTCAAAGGGATGCTGCTCTCTTCACAACCTTTGAGGTGCCTACAGTGATCTTCACTAAGCAATAAGACAACGGTTCCATCAACACGAAGCACTCTGTGACAAAAATGATAATTGGTGTGAGTAGTTCCTTCTTTTCACATAACAAACAGTCCCATTTTATTTAAAATATTTGGTGGTTTTAATCTGAAATTTAATTTTTATCTATTTAAATACAAGGATTTTGATAATTAGGCAGTATCTACCATAATGCATATTCATTATAGTATTATGGAATTGCTAGTACAAATCTGCTTTAATTATCTATTTTTACTCTACTTAAAAGGCAAGCTTCAAAGTAATTTATAATAATATTCTAACAAATGCTTGTATAAAAGAAAAGGCAAATGAAAATTCCTAAAGAATCAGCATATATTAAAGGCAGTTGGCTGATGGGAGAAGAAAGGCACCAGGAAAGAACAAGGACAGGAACAAAGGACTGGCAAAAGGGAAGACCTTGAGCTTGTCGAGGAGAATTCATTTCAATCACTCGACCAAAGTTTGTATAGTACTTTTGTGGAAAAAGTAATGAATGACATCCAGTCTTCTGAGTTGCTACCGAGATTACTGGACAGTGGGAGAGAGGCCAGTAAAGAGTGGGTCTCAAACCTACACTGCGCATTAAAGGGCAAGCAGGAGTGAGCCAGGCCAAGTGATAACCAGGGGCTGGAGCAGGGGAGGTGGTGGAGGCAGAGAAAGCAGGAGAGAGAGGGAGAAGGGACGAGGAGGAGGCACTAGGAGTAGTTGGGCACAAGCGTGAATCGCAGGGTGGTGGGAGGAGGAGGGAGGAAGAGAATTCTGCTTGGACATCGGTGCGGATTCCAGGAGAGAGCCGGAGGTGCAGCCTGGAGCTGATGAGAAAGACTACGGCTTGAGGTGGAGAGTTCCGAGTTCTCAGCAGTGGACGGCAGAGAAAGCCCTAATGGTGGATAAGATCACCTGGGCTGGCGGTGCACAGTGGGAAGAGAAGAGGGGCCCAGAACAGAGCCTCAGAGGAGGAAGAGCTCAGGGAAAATCTAGACAGAAGTGATGTCACGGAAGTCAAAGGAGTGCTGTCACAGAAGGGAGCGGGCTCAACAGGCTACAGGACTAACAAGTGCCTAGGATTGTAAGAAGTCACTAGTGGACCTGGCGCAAATGCTGGTCTGCTGGAATCAAGAGGGGACTGGAAGGTGAGGAAGCAGATGCCAAGTGTAGACTATTTTCAAGAAGTTTGGCTGTGTAGGTAAGGAAACGCGAATCTCCCCTCGCCAGGCAACGATGTCAGGAGCTTAAGGAGCTTTCCCTCACAGGACAACTGGCAAAGCTAGATAAGTGTCTACAAACCACACCACGTCTACTTCACTTCCACCCTCAAGGCCCACCTGCACTATTGTAACAATCTCCTGACAGGTTCTCTCCACACCTGTTGCTCTTCCCGCTCTCCATTCCCAGTTTCCACACAGGAAACAAATGTAAATCCCAGCTAACTCTCCCTTCCACTACACTTCAAACACATTCTAAACTCCTATGTGATCTGACGCTCACCGTCCTTTCCCACTCCACACCTGCTTGCTTCCCTTCACTCACGTGGTCTGAGCAGCTGACCTTCCTTCAGTGGCTCAAACTCAACAAGCTGCTTCTCGTCTTAGAACATTTGGCCTTGCTGTTCACTCTGCACTTAACACTCATTCCTTTTCCCATCACTCAGGTCCCAGAGTTCAAGCACCATCTCTTGGGAAAGGTCTTCTCTGACTATCTATCTAAGGTAGCCACTGCTTCTCTCTGTCACTCTCCCACAAAATATCCTGTTTTATTTATGAACAACCTGTCTGCCCACACTGGAATGCAAGCCCCACACGGGCTGGGACCTTGTCCTGTTCACAGCTCTGTCCCTAGGGCCTGGCGGCGTGTGGGATGTGCAAGGCCTCCAAAAGTGTCGGGGAAGGGGGGACTGAATCTGCACAGAGTGAGGAGATGAATGGTTTGAAGACATGAATATAAAGTGGGCGGAGTATGGTCCTTGAGGGAACAGGAAGTGAGAGGATAAATCCTGGCTGGAAGACCGGAACTTCTTCCACTGCGGGAGAAGGGCGTGGGATGGGGACAGATGTGGCTGTACACCATGGGGCAGAAACATGAAAACATTCAGGTACCTTCACACATATCAAAGAAAACAGAATTAAAATAAAAACATGACAGAACTTTTTACCTATCATATTAACGAAAATAAAAACACTGCCATACTCAGGATGGGAAGGTTATGAGAAAATGAGTAGTGCTGAGATAGAAACTGGTGTAACTTTTTTGGGACAGCCGTTTAACAATAATGCGTTAAAAATATAAAATGTGTATAACCTTTGACCTAGCAATCTCACTTCTAGGAAATTATCCTAAGAGGATGTAACAGTAGAAACAGTAGTAGAATAATAGTGACCATAAAGTGATGCCAGGCACTGTTTTAAATACTTTATGCCATATATCATTTAATCCTGAGACTTATCAAGTATGTCCTGATAGTACCATTTTGCAGATGAAGAAACCAAGGTACTCTGGTTTTAAGTAACTTGTTCATATATTAAGTTTGAAAACTGTACAAGGATGTTCAGAGCATTATTCTTTAAGATGAAAAGTTGGGAATTACCTAAATGCACATCCATAAGTATGAGTTATATAATGGTATATACATAAAACATGATACTACCTATGGTAATCACAGGAACTTATAATATACACTATTAACAACGTATCAGAAAGGAGATTCATGACATGTTCCTGAGTGAAAAAAAAGCAAGTTACAATACAGAAAATTAAGGATGCTCCTGTTTATTTAAAATTGAAAACATGTATCTATTGGTGTAAAAGAATATGAGAGATGCATAGCAGAACATTCATTAAGTTACCATTATAATTTTTTTTCAAATAATGGAGACAATAAGAAAGTAAAAATCACCTGAAATTTGCTACTTTGAGATGAACATTATTGATAAGTATCTTCCTAGGCTTCTTTTCACATTTATATACACATAACTTTTTACTAAGAAGACTATTTAGAGTTTATAAAGCAACGTTTCCCAAATTGTATTCCTCTGAACACTACTAATAGTATGGGATACTACTTCCTGTAAAAAAAAGAATTCTATGGTCAGTAAGTTGGGGAAACTATCAAACAACATAAAAGAGATTTCTCTTTTGCATGTGAGCCTGCAAGACTAGGGGCAGAGGATACAAATTGCTCCAAATTATTTGACCTTGGAATGCATAAGCCTTAACTTTCTACTGCCAATCTCTGTTCCCAGCAGTCTGGTGTATTTGTTGTTCCTTACAAATGCCTTTTGAAGTGTTTACTCAAGAAATACTTCTTGAACATCTTTATGTGTAAAACATTGCATGGTCTCCTTTTTTACTCTTTGCAAATTTCTAAATTTCACTGAAATCTTGCTTCTCCAATGAACTCATCTCAGGCTTCCTGGACACACAGTGACTTCCTACTTCCAGGTGAGCAACTTAAATTTCTAATTTTGCTCATATGTTTTCCAAGACTGCATTTGAGAGGAAAGTTCCAATATTCTACTTCTCTGAATTCCTCACATACTCTTTCCTTATGAAATGGTTACTGATGAAATAAATTAGAGCAGGAAATAGTTGAGGCAAGAGTGCTGGGCTCATGCTGCCAGAGCAATCATCTGTCCGAGAGCTGGTAATTCTGACTGCACGTTCTTTCTCGAAGAGTCCAGCTCAGTATTACAGACACGACCAACTATTTCTTGCCTATTATAAACAGGTTTACTGACCCCTTTTTTTTTTTCATTTTTACTCACACAATTCCCCTTCCTTTCCATTTTCTATCTATAGTCTTAAACTATTCATAAACCATTAAGAGAAAAGTTACATGTCCTTAGTAGGTATATTTATGTATATCCCCACCTACTTCCCAAAAGGATCTGCAGTGGTTTATACTAAAAAAAAGCAGGTAAGAGCTAACAGTAACTGTTAGTGTCACAGCACTTTGTAGGTCCCAGCACTGTTCGAAGAGATTTAAATCCAATGAATACTTGTAGCAATGCCATAAGGTAGGTACTATTATTTAAAGATGAGGCACAAAGAGGCTAAGCAATATGCCTGTGACCGAAGAACTACTAGTAACAGAGCCAAGATTAGAACCCAGGTATCTGGCTTCAAAGCCTGCACGCTTCACCACCATCTCATGCTACAAGGCATGTGAAACCTCAAACCACAGAGGGTCAAGTCAAACCACAAAGGCTGTGGGCCGGTGGCAAGGATGCTTGATCACAGAAATTCCTTATGTCCAAGTAAATGCATACACTTTTTAAACTGATCCTACTGAGGCATTTGAATTATATGGAAAATATTGAATATCTTTTCAATTCTTAGATAAATATTTAAATTTACTGCCACAATGTGAGAACAATCGTATCTATTAATGTCTTATTTTCAGTCACCTACAAAAACCAAAACCTGCCTAGAGAAAGTCGGGCTGATAAGGACTGTCTACTCAAAACACTGCCCTCCACTGATTTGTGGAGATGTCTAAAATATGCAGCATTCGATTGTTAGGTTAGGCCATTATTTCTGGAAAGTTCCAGGTTAAATGTAAGTCACTACTCACACATAATAGTATCTCACCATGAATTGGCTTAAGAGTATAGCTGGTGAATTATTAATAACCCAGTCAGGTGCAAAGGTTGTGGTTATAAACTCTGGTTGCACAACAGAGTCACCTTGGGAGCGGTTAGTGAATACGGACAATTACATCACAGCCTCGGCGGGGAGAGGTGGAGAGTGGGCATCAATGTTTTTCAAAACCTCCTGAAATAATTTTACTAGGGAGTCGGGGCTGCAGTATCTGCTCAAGGGTAATGTGACACCAGGCAGAAGGGAGTGCAGGAGCTCAGAAGGGTTTATATTATAGCTGTTGCTCAGATAGAAATCTCAGGTAGCATATCGAGTTAGGCAAGTTGCTTAGAAATAAGATAATCCAAAAAGAAGTTAGAGCACCCAGCTGGTACGAACAGGGTGAGATGACTCTTAGTTGAACTCAGACTTCCCGTCAAGCTTTCATTCTCCTAAGAGAACGTCAGCCTTGACACTGAATTTTCTCCACCCAAGCCCACATGATTCGCTTTATCAGTTGGCAATATTATTCATACACATGCTCCTGAACATTTATGTTGTCCTGCTCTATACAATACTCAGCTGAAACAATTTAATAAGAATTGACCACTTGTTCACATCCCTTCATCCCTCTATACAGTCTAGGCTCTCTCCTTTATCAAATTAAATGATCATAAAAATACATATTCAGGACCTACTGTTTGAACCTCTCAAAGAAACACTTTCACTAATTATATTCCACAAGGTCAACCTTAGAAATCATAATATGAATAACACTTCTGACTTTTCATTTCACTATCAACAATAAAGGCATTGTCCATTCTACGATGCTGAATGGTCCTTATGTGACTGTTCTGTTTTTTAGTAGCTATGTGATCTTGAGAAAGTTCATTTTCCAGGGTACCAGTTTCCTATCTGTGAAGTGTGGGGGATTAACACAGAGGATGCAGGGTGTTTGTGATAATTAGAAGTAAATATGTAAATTAACCGAGCTCAGTGACTGACATGTAGGCTGCTATTTCAGATACTCAAATTTCAGGCAATAAAAAGTTAGTATTTTTCTCTGAATGAAACATAGTAAAAGATGATATGAAATAACTATTTTAATGATAAATTTCTGATTTAAAAACTTAGAAAATAAAGCTACAAAAACTCTCAGAAATTACTAAAATGCAGTCAAATCTAAACTGAAGAGCTGTGAAATATTTTGGTTAAATGTTCAATAGCTCAAAGTTACAGAAATAAATTGACCACCTTACCTTTCCATTTCTTGGAGAATGCTTTTGATGTCTTTTCCTAACTTAAACTTTTTCCCAAATGGAATGTCAGAAATAATAATATCAACACTTTCTGAAGGCAATGGCAATTCTGAAATACAGAAATCCGAGAATCCTACTCAGTAAGTTTGAGAATTTACAACCTAAATATGAGAAAATTAAAGTACACAGAATTACATTTGCATATTAAATAAAATTTAGGGTGGCTAATATTATTTCTAAGAAATTACAAGTTTCTGAAAGGCTTTTAGAATTACTGAAGATAAATGGTACAATAATTATATTCCATTCTTTGAAAATTGGTTTTTCAGGTATGATAAAAGATGACATAAGTAAGCAGAATTTTAAATTAACCAGAAAATTCAATTCTCTAAACATATTACATGACTAGAAAATTGCCAGCTCCAAGAAGAAACATATTATGTTGCCTAGAAAAACCTTTTACAAAATTATATTCTATAACTTTCATTTCCCTTTATATATATATATGTATATATAATCTTGCATATATAGATCTATTTATTTTTAAGGGAGATGATGTACAGCTTTCATTGAATTTTTAAAGGGTTAAGAACATGTTACTTCAGTACTAAGCCTACCAAAGAGGTTAAACAATCAACAAGATGAATATCATCACTAAATAATCAGTGTTTGACTATGAAATCTAAATTTCTGTCTCATCTTTACATTTTCTTCTCCGAAATTAGATCATCATAAGGTAATACACCCAATCTCAACTTTCACATTTTCTGAGTATACTTTTCACTTTCTACTTATTTTACTTCCTGCCCAATCTACGTACATAAGAAAACGTGTAACTGAAAATGAGCTGACTTTCCACGGAAGACTGAGCACTACGTTTCGCAGCTGGAGGTGAAGCAGACCGGTGCAGACCAGAGCAGAGCAGAGCAGAGCAGGGTAGAGCAGGGTGGGGCAGAGCGGGGTGGACCAGTGCTGCTGCGTGGAGCTGCCTTGCTGAGGGGGGCCAGGCCCCCAGGCAGCCTGGGGGCGATGCTGTTGTCGCAGCAGCCTGGCTGCAGTGCTATCCAGCTGTCCCACAGCAGAGCTGTTTTCATAGCCGTGCGGTATTATCATGGAGCTGTTTACACTAAATCAACTTTACTTCTTCACCACATCCCAAACTGGGGATTCCTGTTAGCATTTGAACTGGCGCCAGTGACCTCTGACTGACACTCCAAGGTGTCCAATGTAGGGCTCTGAAGCAAAGACCGATGTTACACTGTCCTGAAACCAACTCGTCTGGTGCCTGAACAGTCCCTGAGCTCTAGCTGTCTTTCTGGTTGTGCCTAAGGGTCTCGAGAACTGTGCATTGTGACTAATTGAATTGAACTCAAGACTAATTGAATCTTTACAACACCCTGTTGGTTAGGTGTTATTATCCCTAGAATTCAGAAAGGTTAAATGTCACTTTCAAGGCCAGACAGCCTTTGAATGGGAAAGCCTAGGGCGAAGGCCGAATTACCTCATGCTGGTAGCTACACTCCGCCTGGATGAGCCTGTTTTTCAGCCTCATATAAGCCTCACTATTTGAAGATGCCCAGGCAGGAAGGAGCTATTGGAATGGCATTGTTTAGAAGTTTTCAGTCTTGCTAGAGGTACAATGAGAGGATGAGAGTCCAGAATGTGAGACTCTCAAGGGCAGAATTAATGGCTGTCCTCCCTTATGGGAATACTGAGCGTGTGATCAGAATTGTGGCAAGTAGGGAACAGTTGTGACAGGTAGTAATGGACTCCTCATCCGATGTGGCTGGGATGTTTCTGATGGCCTGAACATCTGTGCTAGGGGTCATGCTGGAGCACTGAGCAAGTGCATCCCGGAGAGACCAACCACCATATTGGCCTCGAGTCCCATTAGCAGCTAGAAGACGAGCCATGATGGAAACTTTAGGATGTGGGAAGTGGTGGCAAATTCAATGGTATGGCCAACACCGAAATGCACTCAAACAAATATATCATTGTATACATACTAATAACCAGAACAGACTCATCCCTTCAAACACACAGTTATGCCAGACAAACATTTTGAAAAAAACGAGTACTCTGACAAATGGACAATTCCAAACCCACTGAACTCTCTGGACACAAATTATTACAGACACACAGTATGTGATACTTCAGACATAGTCACTTCTCACACACTGGCAAGCTCAATGTATTGGCAATTTGATACACAGTGATAGCTCCCCACACATCCAGCTCTTTGGACATCTTGATTTTCTTGTCCAAATAACCCAAACATATACTAGGAATGACATACCCACTTCAACTTAAATAGGGAGAAGGAAGCCAGACAAGAATTTCTTTTTTTTTTTTTTAAAGGGATATAGTGGCATTTATTTCAAGAAATGAAAGAATTGACTCACGTCAGAAATGGGTGGGTGGATCATTAACACTGGAGGTCCACTCTAGTTGATATCCACAAGTTCCATGAATGGCTGGAGTGTTCTCTCCTAGACTTGGGAGGGCTGCCGAACAGGAGAGGAAGGAGGGAACGGACCTGTGGATTTTGCCCCGTCCCAAACTACTTCTAGATCAGCCCTTCCTTGATTTTTGAGATGATCTAGAGCCCTTTTGGGTGATGCCGAGGCTGTTCTATTCCTGGGTGGAGAGTCCATGCCCTTGGCCCCCTGGGCGGCTCTGGTCCTTCTTCTTTTGATCTCCCTGAGTGGGTCCATGGGATCTTGGGATTGACTTACCCTCCTACTAGATTTCCTACTAGAATGGGAGGGTCTTTTGGTGGGAGTTTTCTCCTTTTCCTGTCTCTTCCTAAGGGCTTCAGCCTGGCATTGAGAGACTCTCTGGCCTCCATTCTGTTACTCGTATTGTCTTTACTGTGCCTGGCTGAGATGAAGGGTCCACCTCCTGGACCTTCGAAGGCCAGTGTAACAGGTCTGCCGGTCATCTCCCCTCCTGCAAACACACTCACGCTGGCCCGGGTGTTACTGCTGCTGCCCCTCAGTCGGGTCCTGCCGGTGCTGGGGTTAGGAAAGACAGCATGTCCCTAAGCACAGACTATTTGCATGAAGCATGTCGTTGGATTCCTTCCCCATCAGCATAAGCAAGAGAGGTGGCCCCAGACACCTTAGTGACCATGGGAAGACCTCTGGTCTTGGTCACTAAGACCTTCTCCATGGAGCTCCATGGCTTGTGCTGAGAGGAGAAACAGGGAAGTAGAGAAGAAAGTAAGACCAGAAAGGGCTGTCACCTGTCTTTAAGGGCTTATCAACAGAAGAGACTTTGAAGTCACCTAATCTCCCAGTGGGTGCAGGAACCCCCCGACCACAACCCCAAAAGGGTCCCTGCAGCTTTGCTCGCACAGTTCCAGTGCCAGGAGGAGCACTAATGTGATTTACCAGTGAGCATCTGCACACTTTGATTTTATACACGCCTTAGCATTTCTACAAAACAGACTCCTAAAGGGAGACTGCTGGTCAAAAGCTATTTTTCCCTGGCAGGGTGTCCCAGTTGACTGAAGCATCGTCCCATACACCAAAAGTTGTGGGTCAGGGCACATATCTAGGTTGTGAGGTTGAGCGTTCGATCCCGGTCGGGGCATTCACAGGAAGCAACTGACTGATGTTTCTTACACTGATGTTTGTGTGTCTCTCTCTCCCCCTTGCCGTCCTCTCTTTCTAAAAGCAATAAACATATCCTCAGGTGAGAATTAAAAAAAAAAATCTGTGTCCATTTTATATTTTAATAGCTACAAATTGCGCACCTGTGTGCAAAGCATGATGTGATGCCACAGATTTATATAAATATCAGCTCATGGCTCAAATAAAGAAAGGGATTTCTCATGGTTAAAAATGTCCCACAACAGACCAGAAGGTGAATAACTCTAAGAACTTCAAAGGAAGCAGCCTGGTGTGCTCCAAGCTCTTGGCTGACTTGAGTCCCCGTGCCTGGGTGAGTCACTCCTGTCTGGCACAGACTGCACAGCTGACAGCCGGCCATGCCAGCAGCACGACATCAGGGAGTATGAGGTCAGGGCTGGTGTATGTGCTGCCCACAGCGACCACTTGCACACCTTTGTGCACATTGATTCCTTCTGTTTTGCTGATCTGGATGAAGTTAACTTGCAAATACGGGAACGCGCTTGAACGCAGTGAACTTGCCCTTGCCTCCCTGCGGACCCGCGGGATGTGGGCGGCACACGGCTGCTGCGGGCGCTGCCCTGCCACAGCGCCCCGTCACTGCCCAGGTCTCTCATCAAGACCACCGCACGTCCTCTCCAGAACCTCTGGCTGGCTGAACTGCAGCCCCCGCAGGCCGCCTTTACGCTTTTGCTGTCCATTGTGACCTGCATCAGCTGCCACGCACAGCACAACATCCTCATCCCCACAGCGGCCCCCGCCCCCAGGAACCGACCGCATCTTCCTGCAAACAGCGACCTTCCAAGGGCACCGAGAGTAAGTACCAAATCCTTAAGTGTTTTGCCATGTGAAACACAAGTGTGCTTCTTCAAGGCTCCTTGACTTCATGGGGCCGCTACAGGCAGTGCTATGTAAATGACTGGCGGTCACAGGAAAACTTTCTCACTAATCTATAAAGGTGACACTAACAGGTGACAAACACTTAAGGTTTTATAAGATTTGAATGTACTTTTGAGCTTTTGCTTAATGTTTTCTCTTATAGTTATCATAGAATTTCTGTGAAACATGAACTTTAGAATTTAATAATGTACATAAAGGTTGAACAGGGAGAACTTCCTAAGAGCCTCCTTTTCCTTCTCAAGCCTCCGTTTAGCTGTAGATGTCTATGAACCGCTTTCTCAAAAATTCAAAAAAAAAAAAAAAAAAAAAAAAAGAAAATGAGCAAAATTCATTTAAAAGAGTAGTCATTTGATTTAAATAAAAAGTCATGCTTCACAGGGTGCCATTTAAACGCATTTTCTTCAGCTGCATGTAAGAAATAGCTGGCTTTGGGCTCAGTATCCTTAAAATAACTACTAAGTTTTGAAGTGAATGCTAGATGTTTCTATAAAGAGATCTGTTTCATTTGGTCAGTGATATCATCTTGGCCATCACAGTGGATGGTAAATGTCAACAAACATTTTATTCAAGATGTGTTCATCATCAGCTTTCTTGAGAAATGAAAACTCAGTACGGCAGATCCTTGAATGAGGTTGTTTTGTTTAGTATCATTTTGTTATAAAGTAGATGAGATCTTGAGGAAAGCTGACCCTTGTTTATATCAGTCTGCGGTAAAACTGGTTTTATTATACATCATTCTGCTATAGTTTCAAGAGCCTATCAATGACACTAAGTGAAGATTTACTGTATTTACTTTTTCATTAAATATATACTTAAAAAGTATTGCTTCTGAACGTTACAGAAGTGTTACCAAACAATAAAAAAGTACTTATACTATACAATAAGTGATAAAGCCACTGTAGCAAAAACACTCAACTCTCTATGGTAAGCTTCTTGTCCCCTGCTTCCTACACATATTTCACATAAACCTAGCTCGCTGTATCTCATGCTTCCTTGACTTCCCAAATGGGCAGCCTGGTAGCTTCAGCATTGGTCACAGGACAACGGGTGAGAACACTGGGGCCATGCAAGTGGGGACAGGAAAGGTATTAGAGGAGAACTCACACGAATACAAAAGACAAGGTAACCAGCACAGCATGGGTATACCGAAACAGAGGGTAGAAATGAATGACACCTGAGAACAAAGCATAATTGTTACTAGCAATCTTGAAGAAATATATGGGCTATGGAATGTCTAATTGGAAGGAGTGAAAAGATTCCCCTCTTTTAAACTGTATATAATTTTGTCATTTAAATTAACCATACAGTTGTTTCTTTTTGCTCAAATCTATAAATATTATAGCTTTCTATCCTATACTAAAAAAAAAAAAAAATCTGTAGATTAAAAAAAAAAAGCCTCACCAATGACAAATCATTTCCTAAGATAGCCTGTAACATAATACCATTTGGTTCCAAATTTTCATAATGATTACAATTTAGGAGTAAATACATGCAATTTCTTTAGATTTGACATTTAAAATTTTTAATTTTAGAAAAAATTCAAATATATACAAAAGTAAAGAGAATAGTACCACTAACCTCCGTTGCCCAGTCCCAGCAACTTTCAAGTCATGGCCAATCTTTTTTCCGTTTTTTTCCCCCAGTTATAGTTTACTTTCAATATTATTTAGTACTGGTTTAAGGTATGCAGCATAGTGGTTAGACAATCATATACTATACCAAAAAACACGTAATTTATGGGTGTTAAAGAACCATCTCCTTTCATGTGAATTAAGGATTATAAAATGAAGGGAATATTACTAAAATTAGAAGAAATAAAGCCCTTGAAGCACACAAAGAGAATGAACGTGGTGACTCTGCACAGATGTAAGTCATGATGGAAGTAGGACTGACTTCCTCAACACCCCCTTGCCTACAGGTCTTTAATTCCTGCTGTGTGTTTGGTACCGTACAGTGCGTGCTTATGTGACAGACCTCGCTACAGCTCCAGGAAAAAGGTATTATACTCATATTACAGATGAGAAAGCACAGAGCGGTCCAGTGCTTTGCTGAAGGACACAGTTTAGAAACGACGGTGAAGCCAGAATTTATACTCAGTCTGTTTGACTCCAAAGTCCATGCCTGTATTACTAGAGTATAAAAAGGTGTGACACCCCCACATCTGTCAAAGTTAAACAAGGGATTCATGGGTATCAACAAAGATAAAACCAAATTAGTGAGGAAAATAAACACTGTGTGAAGTGATCCTTGGTTATGATATGAGAAATTGTTCAGATGCAACAAATATATCTTATGAAAATGTGGTTTTACTTAAATGCTTAGGAAAACTATATAAATGTTGTTCGTAATCATGAATCTTTTGAAAAATAAAAAAGTTACAATTATAATATTGTAAGTAAATTGAGTATTAGCCCTGCCAATAGGTTACAGGGTATAAACAATTCAGTCTTTATATATGGAAAATGAGTCTTATGTTGTAATTCTAAAGATATTTACATATGTTCATTTTTCCAAGTGTTTGCATTTTTACTCTTACCTATAACAGAGACTTGAAGTAACTCAATTTTATCCACAAGGCCTGCAGCTTTCAGATTGTCACACGCGCCTTGTAACTGTGAGTCGCTGACATCAGCACCCACATAGTACACATCCTGTGAGGGAAGAAATTAATATTTTAAGCACAAATAAAACTATCAGATATTTTCTGTAGTTAAGGAAACATTCTAGAATTTTCTCAAGTGATTAAAGTGAAATCAATAGATTTGTTAATCCAGGTTGAAACAAATTTAAAGAAAATCATTTCTTAAAATGATATTCCATCACAAAAATTTTTGTTAAACTCTATAAATAATATTTTACAGTTACAAATGGCTAAAGAATTTGGGAGTTAGCATAATCTGTCATGATTGATTATTGGAATTACTCATATTGTGCTAAATTTATTACATAGTATAAACATAGCTATTTAATTAACCCTTCATAGCAATTTAATTAACCCTTCATAAGCTATTTGACAATAGTAAATAGTGACTCATATAATTAAAATAATAATCCCTAAAAGACAATCTACTTGTAAATAATTGGTAAGTTAACATACATGTACCAATTAAAGTAAATGTATTTCTTAGTTTACCAAAGTTTAGAGCTTACCGGCCATTCTTTTGCAGCTTCCAAAAGTATTGTTCCGAGTCCACACATTGGATCTAAAACAAATGTACCAGCCTGTGGACAGAAATACCAATTTCGTACTATTAAGTCTATTATTATTAAACATATTATTAAAGAAACCTAAACCTTGAGGAATCATAATTTTAAGAGTAAAGATTCCTTTTAACACTTGAGGGATTTCAGGTAGTTAAGGATCCAAGGCAAGCATATGTTTGGCGCGCGCAAAGATGAGGAAGGACAGCAGTGGGGCCAAAGCCCAGTCAGCCAGAGCACCGTGGCTCTGAGGTGACAGGCACGGTCACAAAGAGGCAGCAGGCCATTCCATCGCGGCGGGCTGGTTTACGCTGCACGGGGTAACGGTCTCCAAACCTTAGAGGTTTAAACACCATGTAAGCTCATGCAACATGCTCACAGTAGGGCTCCTGGGGCTTTTGCTCCTTACCCTGGAAGCCAAATTGAACAAATGGTCACCATTCGGAGCATAGCCATCACTATGGCAGAGAGAAAAACAGCATGACAATTTATGCACTAGGTCTTAAAGGTGCCACCTGCAAGTGACACACATCATGTCCACTAACATTTAACTGGCTAATGCATGTCAGCCACATGACACACCCAATTACAGGGGCCAGGAGAGTGTAATCCTGTCTGCACCTGGGGGGAGATCAGGAAATCTGGAGGAAAAACACTAACCACTCCCATTCTGGGGGTCACATGTCACATCTGGTAGGTCCTGTAAGGATTCTGGTTCTATTCCGAAAGATGGGACACTACTGAAGGGTTCTGGGCAGAGAAGTAACATGTTATTACATTTCAAAGGGATCATTCCAGATGATCTGCGAGAACAGAACAGGAGGCTGAGAGTGTTAACAGGGAGGCTAGTTAGGGGATCCAGGAGATGACAGTAGATTAAGTTCGGAGTGGTACTGGTGGAAGTAGTGAGTGGTGGTTGGACTCTGGATATATTTTAAAGGAAGAGCCAACATGATGGATTGGATATGGAATGCTAAAAAATGGTAACAGTCTGATATGTGTAAAGTTTTTGTCCTGAGCAACTGGAAGAGAAGAGGGGCCCATTACTGAGATGGGAAGACTTCGGGAGGAGAAGCTTCCAAGGAGACGAGAGTATAGTTCTGAACGTGGTAACTTTGAGGTACCTCCTAGACCCCCTATGGAGACCAATGGAATCACTGGACCACATGAGTCTGGAATTCAGAGGAGAGGTCCAGGCTACAGGCATAAATGTGGGAGCAGTCAGTCCCAGTTTACATATGGTAGTTAAAGCACCAAAACTGGATGAGTCATACAGGAAGGTAGAGAAGTTACAGAAGAAGACAATCTATGGGCTGTACCCTGATGATCTTGTAAGTACAGACATTTGGTAGGTGACCATTCAGCAACTCATGCTGAGAGTCACACGTGCTCAGGTAGGAGGAGAACCCAGTGTACTGTGCCCAAAACACAGTGGACAAAACCACTTCAGGAAGGAGGGGGCCGATGGTGTCAAAGTGCTGGTAGGTTGAGCGTGAGATGAGAGGTTTCGGCGGAGCGCTGGTGATGAAAGCCCAACGGCAGTGGGCACAAGTGAGAATGGGAAGAAAAGAGGCAGAGAGAGCAAGTGTGGACAACTAGTTTCAAGAGGTTTTCTGTAAAAGAAAAGCGAGAATGGGGGTGGTAGCTGAGGGAGCATGTGGGTTCAGGAGAAGGTTATTTTTTTAAAGTTGCAAGATCTTATAGCAAGTATTCCTGCTGATGAGAATGGGCCAATAGAGAGAAAAGTTCTTAAGTAGGTGAGGGACTGGAATCCAGTCCACAAGTAGAGGAGCGGAACAAGGGCCATTCACTTGTTGGGATGGCAATAAGGCAATGTACGTGGGCATAGATTCCGATATGCAGGCAGATTTAGTGAGGAGAACATGCTGAGGTTCTCTTCTGATTCCAGTATTTAAGTCAAAGAAGAGTCGAGAGAGTTTAAAGTGTGGGCAAGGAAATGACTGTAATGGTAGAACATAAAATCCAAGCTGTGAGGGAGGGATGAGGACCGGTGATAAGTAATGGGCAGCGGTAGGGTCAAAGGCTGGAGGTCCCAAGGGGTTAGTGAACTGTGTTAGGGGGCGGGAGGATGTGAACAGGAAAGAGAAGGGGACTAAAAGCAGGCTTTGTGAAAGTGAGATTTTCGGGAGGCATTCCCTTCTGAGTATGATAAGGTCTAGGAGGTGCCTAAGGCAGGTCGTTAGAGGTAAGGAAGGCAAAATTTGACAGGTTGGGTAATGGATGAGATAGAGAGATCATAAATAATTTTAACAGGAACAGTGGACTGATTTCTAATAGGAATGATAGGAAGAGATCTGTATGTGACTGTGATAATCTGATTGCATGTGCTCAAAGGCACTGAGGGGTTTTGGGCAAAAGGAACAATGAGGAGCAAGTAGGACCCCACCCCACACCTCCAGGCCCAGTGGTCCCTTGATATGTCTACAGAGGAAGCTGAGTGCTCAGTGAGTCAGGTTTCACTCACAGCCAGAGGGCACTGAGTGGAAAGAACCAAAATGTCCAGAGTGAGAGTGAGAGAGAGAGAGAGAGAGAGAATTTCAGAAGCAGAGAAAAAGAGTAGTTGTAGGTTAAAGTCTCTAATGCAAGGCAGTTGTGGTAATAATAATTAAATAATGAGAAAAAGTGCTTGAGCTAGAGAAATTGTAATAAAAATTTTGTAATCATTAGAAATTCCAAATTATTGTAACTATGTATAAATATCAGGCACTGTTCTAATCTCTTGATAAATGCTAATTCATTTTATTCTCACATGACCTTATGAAATTATTCTTTTCATCTTGCAAATGAGAGACTGAGGCACAATGATGTTAAGTATCTTGCCCAAAGTTTCCCAGCCAGTAAGTGGTGGAGGCAGAATTAGAACCCAGGCAGTCAGACTCACTGAGTGATTAGCCGACTAGAAAAGGCATGTGAGTATAGTCTGGTAATAATCCTGAAACTTATAGGACTAAAGACAAAATCTCACAAGTTTCTGAGCAGAAAGAACAAGGTAGCTATAAAGGAAAAGAAAATCATAATGGCACAGACAACCTGGCTATAATATTGGAAGCTAAAAGACAATGGGACAGCACCTATCGATGGCTGAGAGAAAAGAAGAGTGACTCAAGCCAAGGTGGGCATATGCAGGATGAAAGGAACAGATGTGAGGGTATACAGAAATTCAGGTAGTATATTACTAAAACACCTTATGCAAGGAAAATACAGAAGAGAAGACCTTAACCAAGCAATAAATGAACCAGAGCAGAGACCTTAACTGGGGAAAGACAATGTGAAGACCCACGGTGAGGAGTGATACCCTTTGCAATATACCTCTGTGTGTTTGCACAGAAATGTGTTTGTTGTACACACCTCTACCATAATGATTAAGGGCAGGCTGACATAATACAAGTGCTAAATAAGATCTTTTGAAACAGATGAGACATACTTTAAGTAAAATCTGATACATGATCAATAATTTAGTTCAATCTAGTAATTGGGGGTTGGGAGTGAAAGAAGACAAAACGTTTCAAAGGTCTCACTGCAGGAGGAGTAAGGGTGGGTCAGGAGGAGAGGAAACAATACTGTGGCGGTCTCCTCTTATGAGAGGGAAGGAGGGGAAGATGGGAATGTCTCGGTAGTAAAAATTGTCTTGTTAGAGGAAGGAGTAGATCTCTTGCTTTAAAATAATGGTAGAGTTCCATGTGTTGTATTAAGAGAGCTGGGAAAGGGAACCATTCATGGACTAGAACAATAAAGTGAAATCTCCAACCTCAGGGAGAAAAATGAAATGATTACGAAGTAACTTGATCAGACTGGCAAAAATAAAAAGAGTAAACTGTAAGAAGTTATAAACAGAGTAAAATAGGAGAAATACAATCAGGTGTGTGTCCGAGTCCTGAATTATTTCATCAAATGCCAGAGGCCATCAGAATGGGATACAAACAGAACGGCGTGTTTGTAAAAAACACACTGAAAACGAAGTTGAGATTAAGGGAGGCTCCAAGAAACATAAGACGAATGCAAAGAAAAAGAAAGGAGTAAAAATATTAATAACACAAGGTGAAATTTAGGTTTTAACTCACTATTTCAGATGAAGAGAACTTACATAATAATAAAAAGGCACAACTCATGATGAAGCAATAGCAGACATGTGTATATAGCAAACTATAGAGAGGCTGAATAAGGCAACTAATAAAAATGCAAAAGGTTAAAAAAAAGTCAGTATTTCATATGCCTTTCAAAATTAAGCAGATAGAAAAACAGTAAAAGACCCAGAGGACATTGACCACAAAATAAAATTTTTTTCTTATGCCCATGGAACATTTACAAAAAAATCATCAAGATCTTGGTAACAGGAAAAAACTTAAATTTAAAGAAGTAGAAGTTTTACAGGTTATGTGATTGTGACACAAAAATAGAAAGAATAAAATGTGGCTATATTTTTACCTAGCTTTTTCATAGGCAAAATACTCTAAAGTTCAACAATATATAAAAACATCACTGCAGAACTTTGTAAGTGTAATGGCAACAACAGCAACAAAACAGCGAAAGAAAATCACAGAAGAAAAACAGAAAAGGAAAATAAAAGCAAGCAAGCAACCAAGATGTCTGTAAGTAGAAGACCGTGTAAGTTAATTACAGAAAGGATCTCGCGATCATAATAATAAAAAAAACCTTTTCCTGACCTTAATCTCAGCGACAGAGGCCATTGCCCATGCTATGGTAGATCTCAGTCCTGCCGTCTTGATGTAAGCTCTGCTGGCTAAAGGGACCCTACAAAGAAAAAAGGACCTGATGATACATACAGTATTACTGTTAAGTTAAAGAGGAACCCGATGTAAATACAAATGATGAACCTGTCCATATCTGTGAATCATCTTATCATGTGCAGACAACACACACTAAACTACTCCCTAAGTTCAGAGTATTTAACCTTTATTATAAAAGGGTAATACTTAGCACCTTCTGCACTTCGCACCTGGTTTCATCAGCTAGTGTGGCACTTTAGAAACGTAAGATTTTTAAATAATGGAAGTTTAAACCCTTCTGTGTTTAACTTATAAAATTTAATCACACATGAGAGGAATTTTTAAAAAGTGTTTAAATACTTCCCTGTTTTCCCATATGGAAGAGACCTTTTGTTTGCTGATCTGGAGTCATCAGGAAGAATATGCTGTTTTGCAACAGAGATGTAGTGTGGGAAGAAGGACTGGATGGATGCTAACCCTTGAAATATGTTTTCTATAAAAGTCCCTTGTGTAAGTATGCCGATTGCTCATTTGCATCTTTCTCCAAAGATTAAATGAAGCATGACATCACATTGTTCGCACCGGAGCAGACATGTCCCCAATGAGTTTTCTGGTCTCCATTATGTATCCCTTCATACTTCATCTTCTACCTCATTAATGCTACCATCAGTATTTCCAGATTGATAGAAATTTTCAAAATATTATTTCTATGTGTCTAATGCAATGAACAAGCATTCCCTTAGACATTTCAATGCATTTTCTATTTCATTTATATAATTTGTTGCTAAGATACGAGGATACGATTTTAAGAATTAGCGCTTGATTGTTTTGGGGGTAGGCTTGTTTCAAAACCACTAAGAGAGCTCTCCTTTGACCATTATACAAAGTCACAGTGTTCTCCAAACCGTATCGCTCTCATCATTTTGTTTCTGATCTTTGACTTTAAGTTACCCTGTTTTTTGTGTATTTATTGTAAGCCTCTTAAAATCTTCTAATTAGATGAGGTATCCTCTTTCAAATAAAACAGTATAATAGCATATTTACTGTTACAGTGAGGAAGCTCTGCATGGTAAACTCATAGGAGTTTGATTTTTTTAAAGATTTTTTCAAAAAATAACTCACATTGCAGTCTTGGCCAGGTGGCTCGGTTGGTTGGAGCAATGTCCCATACACCAAAAAGTTATGGGTTCCATTCCTGGCCAGCGCATATACCTAGGTAGCGGGTCTGATCCCCAGTTGGGTTGTGCGTGGGAGGGAACTGATCCATGTTTCTCATATCAGTGTTTCTCTCCCTTTCTCTCTATCTAAATCAATAAGAAAAAAAAATCCTCGGGTTGGGTGAGGATGAAAAAATAATAATAATTCATATTGCAGACAGTACTACATCCACAGATTTAGAAACTGGGATATAAACTTTGCAGGTGGAATGACTAGAAATATTTTGATCAGTGAGTTTTAATACTATAGGCTAGTCTTGACAACTGTATTGCTACAAAACACATTAGTTAAAACCAGAATTGAGAGATTATTTTTCACTCTAGGCATCAAAATAAGACACTTGGCATGGAAAGCTGTCTTTGTCCATATATTGCCAAGTGCCTTTCTGAGTATCAGGGATTTATGTAGATTAACCTTTGAAAATTTTGACAGTTATGCACATATTTTTACCAACAGAGGTTTCCTTTATGGGAGTTAACCCTATGAACATGTGACTAAAGTGAATGTGTTCTTATACTTTAATAAACCTGGACAAATTATCTGCTTTTACTTCAACAAAAGGGCTCATTATATCAATCTAATAAAATTATTCAGGGCAAAAAGTTTTTCAGAAATAAGCTCTTTGAAATAAAAATATTTCTCCACTTTCACAGAATCTGGCTAATGAGTTTAATCAGATTTTTAGTTGACTTTTACATAATATGAAAGTAAATGTGATTTTGATCCTCTTCTCCACATATATGCATCTCTTCTTTATTCTCTTATACACCATCTAGTACCAAGATAAAGACACTCATTGACATTTCTAGCCTAGACTTGTCACCTGAATCCAAGATCTTTATTTTTCAATGTGTGTTTGCACACTTTTTACCTACCTAGAGCACTGCAAATTCAACAGGTGTAACCTGAGCACACTCCGTTCCCTGTATTTCATACCTTGATACATTTCTTCATTTTCTTGGGCCACTTACCATCTATATATTGGGTCCCCTAATCTACATCTCCAGCCTAGATTTGTCACCCAAATTTCTGAACTGTAACTTTAAACATCTACTCAGACATTTTTCACTGAATATACCACCTTCCCCACATTTACTATCTCAGTGAGTGACACCAGAATCTACGAGTTGTCCAAATGTCCAGATCAGGTGTCCGACATTTACCTGACATTTATTCGGGACTCTTTAACTATTGAGTCCATGGCCTCCTTTTTGTTATCCCTGTTTTTGCCTTACCGTTCAGCTCTTCATCATTCATGGCCTGAACTTTTGTAGAGTTTAAACCTCCTTTTTCTTTTTATTTCCCTTTCATTTAAAGACATCATTTTCTTGGTAATATTTCAAAAATCACAAATCTGGTCACATCACTCTCCTGCTTCAAATTCTCACTGCTTTTAGAATAAAATCCAAGTTGCACAGCATGGCATACAAGACACTTCATGACTTGTTTCTGATTGTTCAGTCTCATTTCCTGCCACTCCCTAGGAATTCCTGTCCCATCTATACTGAAACTACTTGCCATCCCCACATAAACCAAGCTTTCTCACAGCTCCCTGCCTTTGCACATGCAAATCCTTGATTGCAAGGTCCTTTCCTTCTCTTGCCAATTTGAGGAACCCTTCCCAGTGTTCCCCATGTAAGTGCTACTCCTCCATTCTCCACTGAAGTCACTCAGTAAGAGAGTCTCCTCTGTGTTCTTTTGCTTGCCATCCTCCATCACAGTTAGGCCCCTTTTCTAACTCTAGTCAAGCGTTTATCACCTATCTGTTCCACCACTAAAATGAATTCCTTGAACTGAATAACCGTCTTCCTCACCTTTGAATGTTGAATGTTTAGCACAATGTTTAGCATATACTAAGTGTTCATGAAGTGTTCCAACTGAAATTAATTGAATAAATTAATCCTAGTCTAATAAACATTTCTCCCTAGTTGCTGATCTGTTTCAGAAATAAAGCAAATGAAATTTATTCAACACTTATTCTATCCTAGAAATAGTACCAAGCATTTTCATGTAGGTTACCTCACTTAAGCCCACCCTCAAAGAAATGAAGAAGGAAGTATTATTTTCCTGATTGAATAGTGGGGATATATGATAATCTGCCTAAACTTGCAGTTAATCTGTTGAGAAGGCAGAGTTGAAGTCCATAGTTCTTACCCACTATGCTGTATGTGTGTAGTGTGGCAAAGCTGTACACAGTTAATGTTCAGGACGAATTTTAAGAATTATGCTTTATTTTCTATTTTAATTAACATTCCAAGATGCCAACAGACTAAAACTTTTAGTTTAAATATGGGCCTGTGAAAATCACTTAATGAGAGGAATAATTAGATATAATTTTAAGTATGAATTATGTAATCAGTGGATTACTATGATAAAATCTCTCATAGCTTTAACTGGTCAGATCAAGTCATATCCACTAAGCTTCATGAAAAAGCTTTACTGGCTAAGGTAAAGAACTCAAATGCTTTGTTTTTAGCCCTGTCTGTTGTATCAGTGTTTCATACTGTAAATGAAAAGCATAAAGTTATTACTTTTACAAACTCTCCTGAGGGACAAACCCGAAGCTTGGAATATAATATATACCTGAACACGGGAATTCCCATGACAGAATAAATGTCATTTAGATGTATAAAGATCTGAAAGAACAAATACACAAGTTAAAATGGAACAGGGAATGCATTACCAAATTATTGATAATATGAAAACTTTCATTTTGAACCAAACAAGGCCTTGTATGTCATATATTGAAAAATGTTTCATAACATTTTTCTTGAGAAGAGGTGCAGTAAATTTTATGTACATTTCATAGAAAAATTTGAGGTTAATTTGGGATACAAATTATATGGAGATTCATGTTATGAAGAACTTGAGATCAATTTTCTTCCCAAATACTCTCTGAGTTATAATAACCAGATCAGAATTTCCAGCACTGGGGTTAGAGAAGACTTCCTAAATCCACCCTCATACTAACCTCAAATGAGAGGCGAGGTCACACAGGATTATCATGGGCTACACACTTTTAGTGTAACAGAAAACTCTCTTCAGGTCAAATGTAGCAAGGGTAGCCTTCTCTCTCTACTATCTTAGGTGAGCTTCCTCCTCTTTATCACCTTTATTGCCATAAAGAGGATTGGAATGTTAGGTTATAATTAGTAGCCCAAATAAACTATAAAAGTTAGACTCTTACTTTTGTAGTCTGATGAAGTATATGGAATATTCTAATTCTGCTGTTTGACCTCATGAGCATTTGAAACCCAATACTTTCACCCAAGGTTATTTTTAATATATGCAGTGTAATCAGGATTATTCCAATATTGATACATTTTTATCAAGAAAAGTGATTTGCAATAAATTTCCTTTAGTCAATTTAATTCCTTGATCATCAGAGCTAAAGTTTCCAATTTTTGATATTATTCAACTTCAGCAAAATTATTTATTGGAATTCTCTTCTATTTAAAATTTATACTAAAGATACAATATACTGATATTTTTAAACATCAAATGTTATTAAGGATAGCTTCTCCCCCTATGAAATTTTTTCCATTAATTTTTCCAAACTAAATTTGTTAAGATTTGATTCTTCTGTCAATTTTGGTCACAAATTTTACTGTGTGTGATTTTAGTGTTGCCAATTTTGTATTGTGTCGATCATTTCTACCAATAATAGCTAATATTAATTGCATTAAATGGATGATAGGAATTAAATCAGCTGTATTTACTTATGAGCTAAACTATGGAAAACTGTAATTCTGAGACAGGGAGATAATCAAAGGGAGATAAGGAGGAGGAAATCAGAGAGCAGAAGGGCATGAAAAGAAGACACGCTTAAGTCAAAACATTCTTGCATGACAGGAATAAGAGATCTATACCGAGAATTACTTTTTAAAAGTGAAAAATATCATAAAAAGAATTAAAAATAAAATAATACTAAATGTTCTGATTTGACCAGCAATTACTTCATTTTAAGCTATATAACAATAAATCAATGAATTATGAAAATGACTAAGCTACCTGCTCAAATTTATGAGATGGTTCTTAAAAAAATGAATAATACCTTTTGTAGCTTGCATTTATTTTCCCGTGGGTTGCATTTTGTTCCAATTAAAAATAGTGTAACCTCATTATATTAATTTTAAAAAATAGAGGGGGGAAAAAAAAGAAAAACACAATCCTGCACCCCTAACAAAACCATTGTTAACATATTGAATTTTGTGCAGACTTTTTGTTTTTAAACATTAGCTAGAATTTATTATAGAGATTTGTTATGTATTACGGTGATTGTAGAGAGCATCTCTGCAACCTTATAATAAATCCTTTTTAGCTCAACTGTGACAAAACAATTCCATTCCAAAACATTTTATTTGGATAAGACATTTTCACACTGAAAACTACTAGCAAAATTATCTGCACTGCTCTATTGCTATAGAAAAAGAACAGACTGCTGGATCCATGTAGACAGGCTTTTTGAAACTAAAGAAAAATTGAAAAGCACAACAGATTAGTTGACATTGTCTTTAAAGAATTTGGTTGTAAGCATTTAAAGTAAAATGAACATTCATTACCTCTATCTTCGGATCCCTCAAATCTGCTTTCCATCCAAATTGTTTCCTAAGAGCAATTCCAATTATTCTTCCTACCTCCTGGAAAGGCAGCAAGTTATAGAAAAGATAAGAATATTATAAATGAAAAATGTAAGTTTAAATATAAGTGAAAACAAACAGAGCCAGTAGGAAAATCAGGTCAGACTATCTGATGGTAATTTAAAATTACAGTATTAAAATATTTCACTACAGAACTTTCTATTCAAGGCAATAAGGCTGCATTTTATCTCTTTCACCATCCTCTACCCTCCAAGACATTCTATGGCAATTGATTCATGTGTACCCATCTACTCATGCGTAATCTCCATTTTTGTAATTTTAGAGACATGAAATAACCAAATCATGACCTGGTAAATAAAGCCATTTTAGGTTTTAGGAAATGGATGGAAGCTGAAAAAGATGAACTGCTTTACCTACTGCAAGCCAGTAGGTTTTAAATTGACCAGATCAGTAGCATTAGACTCAAACTTCAGGGTCTGATTTTAAGGTTGGCCAAAGAACCCACAACTATGCCCTTTATATTACTGAACTTTGTAAGGGTCAACTGATAACAGCTTTTTGAAGGAATCTGTTGGTAGTGTTCCCCCTCCCCTAGATAGCTGAGACCTTGAGTGTATTTATGTATTTGCTGTCTAGTGACAATTACACATACAGGGCCAGGTGTAATCACTCAATAAACACTGAACTGAACTAAAGAGAAAACCAAGAAGCTCAGGACCATGGTATCAGGATTTGTAACATGCAAAGGATACCTGTAAGTTTAAGGAAACTTTTGGGGAGCCTTGGATGGTGTGGCTCAGTGGGTTGAGCACCAGCCTGCAAAGCAAAGGGTTGTGGGTTTGATTCCCAGTCAGGGCACATGTCTGTGTTGTGGGCCAGGTCCCCACTAGGGGGCATGTGAGAGGCAACCACACATTGATGTTTCCATCTCTCCTACCCTTCCTCTCTCTCTCAAAATAAATAAATAAATAAATAAATCTTTAAACAAAAAACAAAAAACGGAAAACTTTTGGGGAGAGAGTAAAAGGAGGCAAGTGCATGGAATGGCATACTATTCCTATTAAGCATCTGAGGTAAAGTTAAAATGGAAAATGTATTTTAAAAGAGATTTAATTATATGATATTCAGCTGGGTTATCTGCCTGAGCCTAATTATTTATTCTGTGAAAGGTTCTGATCTCATTTCAAATCTAAAGAGTAGTTAATTGTTCTTAGGAAATGAAAACCCACTTCAGAGGTGAGGGTACCTGTGCAGAAAAGGCCTTTGCAATGGCTCCACTGCAGCGACAAGAAACTCTAAAAGTCAAGTCATTCTGGTTATGAGTGTCAACTGCTTTTGCCACTTCATTCTGAAGTTCTTCTTCTTGAAATTTTTCTCTTTTAGTGAGAAGGTCTCCTTGCTCCAGTGTTTCCTCTTCTATTTGTTCTTCCACCTGACATTCCCTATTCTCTTGTATCTGTTGCATTTGTTCTGTTTTTAATTTCTTAGTGATCATAGTGTCATTTTCTCTCATTTTTCTTTTTGGTGGGTCAGCATCTCTTTGAGAAAGTTTTTCCTTTTTTGCATCTAGTTTCAGAAGATTGTTCCAAATTGAAATGGCATTCAGCCAACTTTGAGGATCACTGTTTATAAGTTGTTGCATTTCATTATGTATTTTTCCTAAATAAATAAAAGTTCAGTTTATCCTATATTGAAACTTTAAAGACAGTCTATTATATCCATTACCCCCAAAATTCCATTATATTTATTTTCATAAAATAATTTTTTTAAACTCCATGAAGAATTACTCTACTTTCATCTAAAATGTCTATCATTTACTATAAGAATATTGTGCAAAATAAGGTTCATTCTTATATTCCATACTAAACATCAAAACTGTTTTAAAATTCCTATAGGATTATCACATACTTTAGCAAGATCATTTGTCTTATAATAATATATGCATTCTCTTTAATATATGCATAGACATAGAGTGTATATCAGTTTTTGAAATAATGCTGATCTTGCCTATAACATTAAGTTGAAAAAAAAATTACAAAACATAGATCTCAGAAACAGAGCAATTGAATTCTGAGACTATTTTAGACCATGGAGTACTAGTGCACTTCATAAAAGGAGTTTCCATAAAGTAACACCGCAGGTACAGAACCCATTCATAATTTAGGGACCGCCAGCATACTCAATATAATGTAATCATTTCTGGATGAACAAGGGTCGTCAAGAAGACCCAAGAGTAAATACTCTACTTCTCTAATAATGAGAGTGTATGGAATATTGGAATGAGATTATATTGATCCCACAGTATAATGTCTTAGTATTTGTTTTAAAATAATTTTTTCTGCCTTGTCTTGATTTTCTGCCATTTGTATCTTTCTTGATACAATTTATTATAGACTATACACTTACGTGATCTCTTGTGCATAATCAGCAATCAAAATGAAGTTTAAGGCAATGTTTAATCTAGCAGTGTCCAGACTTTGGTACTTTTATCAAGATCCTTAAATTATTTTAGCCACATATTTATAAATACAGAAAATCTCTTAAGCCCCCTTTAACTCTAATACTTTATAAAAGGCTAACAGTTTATTCAAACATTTAAGGTCTCCAATACAGGAAATTTTACTACACAGTATTTTTCCACTTACATCACTCATTAGTTAAAATTTACAAGGTGACAGTTTTGACCAATTTATTAAGAAAATGCATTTTGGGTTATTACATGTCCTAAATCTAAATAAATGCAACTGACCATACATCTCTCTAGAAAAGGTGTCTGATCAGAGTTCGCAGAAATGAAATGTGACTTAGGACACTAAAACCTCAGTAAGACAGGCAGTGGGTTGCAAAGAGAAGAGACACAATTAGGTGATACTACTCAGAAAATACAGAAAAATATCTAACTAATGATCCCACAGGTAGGAATGAATCTTAAAAACATCAAATGGCTACTTATTAATTATCAAGCAGAAAACTCTGGAGTACAATATATTATGTGGATAAAAGCAACAGGTGTATACCATACCTTTATTTACAGAAGAAACATTAAATGGAAACTGCTTTTTAATCAATAAAAACAATCTTTCTGCGGATTTTAATTTTTTCAGCATATTCAAGTCAGAGCAGGTGGTAAAAAACACTTTTCCTGAGACGTATTCAACCTAGAGATAGAAAAATAGATATTAAGGTAATATAGTGTAGAATAAGAACCATTTTCCTTTTTCCCCCTTAATGAATTAAAACACAGCTTCTAGATTAATAATAAAAACGACTATTTCTGAAGTATCTAATATTTGTCAAAGACACTATAGTAGACATTCTGAATACATTTTTTTCCCCTCATCCTTATAACAACTCTCAAAGTTAGATTTTATCACCCTCATTTTACAGATTAGAAAACTGGGGCTTAGATAGGTTAGAGACTTTGTAAGAAGCCACAAAGTCAGCGACCAAGACCATAATCTTACTATGTCACGCTACCATTTGTAAAGTGTGAGTGTACATTCGCTTGTACACACACTACTAGAAAAACAGGACACGAAATACTCAGTAATTTTTGCTACACCTCACACACTATTTGAAAGTGGGCACCATTAATAAAAGTCTTGTGGAAGAATCCTACAAGCTTCAGGAAGAGGGATTCTAATAAAAGGACAGAGGGCAAGATGCTGAGGTGGGAGTGACAACCTGGCTGAGGTAAGCTGCAGGCTGGCCTGGCAACATTTGCTGTTACGCTGATTGAGAGTGTCAGGTGGACGGATGGCGTTGCTCGGGCCAGCTTGACAAATGGCCATGAAACGGGGTACCACAGATGGCAATGGTTAACCGTCATAGACTTTTGATGAAAACTGACAGCACCAAATTAGTTGGTAGAAAAAAATTACTTTGGAAGAAGGCATAAAGGACTGAGTGTAGAACGTGACGCTGGAGGGGGAAGTAGATTACGGAGGTAGAAATAATGAGACACCTGGCTGTGGGAACTGAAAAATGGACAGAAGCAAGAAGCATGCATCACACAGCGACGGGCTTTGGAGACAGGGTAGCTCTGAGGTAAAAGTCAGGGGAGGAAGGCAAGTGAAGAGCACCGGCTCATGGCGAGTCTAACAGGCTATGGCAGTAGAGCAAATAGTGTTCAGTACCAATGGAATCCTAAACCTTTTTGGGTCAACCCAACTCCCTTCAATTCAGGATGGACGTGGACCGTCCTGAAATTCTCCTTTCAGCAGTGGCCATGGGCTGACTAACATGGCTCTAACTCACCTCTAAAACTGACGCGTCAGGGAATTTGGGGTATCCCCGTGTGTTTAGGCAGCTCCCATTCAGTGGGAACTTGACCTCCAAGTTTGTTTGTTTTTTTTTAATCTGACATGGTCTAATTAAGCTTTTTGGATGGTGATTTCTGGGGTTACCATTATATCTTGATGAAAAAGAATCTTTGCCAGGGAAGCCTCAGGCTGAAACTAATTAAAACCTAAATACTTCTGGTTATAAGTCGAACAAGTTCTGAGGCTGTACTGGACAGCATGGTGATTACACCTAATACCACTGCATTATATGTTTGAAAGTTGCCAGGACAGTAGGTCTTGATTGTTCTCACCAAAAAAAAAACAAAATTATGTGACAGGTGGAGGTATTAACTAATGCTGTGGAGGTAATCATTGTGCAATGTATAAATTTATCAAATTAACACACTGTATACCTTAAATTTCTACAATGTTATGCCAACTATAGCCCAATAAAGCTTAAAAAAAAAAAAAAGAAAGCCCAAATAGCTTAAATACCAGCAATGTAACTAAGAGAGATGAAGTGGGGAATAAAAGAATATTTAGGAACCAATATTTAAGGGGATAATGAAGTAGCTTAAATAAGATCTTATTTCTAGCTTCTACAATTTACTCCTTTCTCATTACAAAGGTGACATTTTCCACTAAAGGCCTAACTTAATATATACCTCAAAATGCTTAGAACTTGAAAGCAAAGTTTTAAAAAGTACATGTTTAAAATTTTAGATTTTTATGTTCCCTGACATTAAAGCCACCATAAAATAAGTAATGAACATAAAATACCTTGACAAGATTCTGACAAAAGTGAAATAAATATTTCACTGAAAATGTATGGTTTTAAGGTTCAGGTCCTATAAACTAATAAACTGATAAAACATTTAGATTAGTGACTTTAATGTAAGTAACTAGTGATCTATATATTTATAGTTACTTAACTGTAAAAGATCTTGTCTTTCTTCTACTTATTTGAACATCAAGGGTAACATTATATACAATGAGTTTTTCTAAAAACATCTTTTGTTTGGGAGGAAGGGGAAATATTTTCAAAAAGAACATAATTAAATATTAAGTTAATTAAGGAGACCTATAAGGTTTAATTTATTTAGGGTCAAATCATAAGAAGAATATATGTTGATGATTTAATATGTTAAATACATTCACAAAATCAAAATCAACATTATTCTCTTTATTTAAAAATCAACATAAGGTCTATTCTTTTATAACTAATAAACATATAATCAGAAGTACTTTACTAAATTGTAAAATAGATACTGTGAAAACGCCATAATCATATATATATATGAAAACACTTTAATGGTTTGCCCTTTATAAAGATAAGGTATTGTAGCTTAAAGGAATAGGGAAAATGAATTTGTACTTATGATTTCAAAAATGGCTGAAGCTAGTGTTACTCTTTTTCCTTAGTTTATTGCTTGTAACTGATGGTATTCAATTACAATACTTAGGGAGAAATGTAGCATTTTAGAATATTTCATCCTAATATTTGTAACTAGAAAATTTATTTATATATACCATCTGTTTATTCCATTTGGAATTAAATCATAACCAAGTGTCTAAAACCAGCTGGTTTCATGTCTAACACTTCCAAAGATGAAATAACAGCCTTTATTAAAGTAAAAACAGCTGTTATGGGCTAGCATATCTAAGCAGTTAGCATTTTTCCTTTTCTTTTAAAATTCATGGATTCAAGTCTAACAAAAAGATGAAATATAATTGTATGTAAAATGTATAGTAACATAGGGAGATACCAAAGTTTTCCTAATTCTACAGATGCCAGTTAGTTTCAGAATTAATTTAAAGGGGCTAAGGGAAGAGGTGAGGTGGTATGTAAGCTTTTTTGGTTCATTTTAGAAGGGAGAATTTAAAAATATATTTCACTTAATTTTTAAAAAGCCATCCAATCTAAAAGGAATGCCTAGAATCTTCAAAAAAGCAACTTCATGCAATCGTCCCACTAAATGAAATTAGCAGACTATCTGGTTCTGCCCCACTACCTTTTACAATCATGACCCCATTAAAAAACTAAAAATTGATTGGCTTGTTCACTTGGGTCAATAGACTTTGCTATGTGGGTTTATACGGACTGAGGAACCACCTGACAGCGACTTTCTGGCTGGCTGGCATTTGGAATACATCTATTCTATAGAATTTGATATTAAAAAGCACTGTCCCTGCTATTATTCTTATAATAAATAATACATTAAACACTGTTACAAAGTAAAGTTTAATTGTTCCCATACATTTCTTAAAAATAGTCAGAGTAAAGAATATAGCATGTCTATATATAAAATATAGACAGTATCTAAGTATATTATATATAAAATACATATATTTATATAATATAAATATTTAAAAATACCCAGGAGCCTAAAAAGAAGTTTGCCCTACGGCCAGGAGGTAAAAACTCAAACCTGAATCTGACCAAGCTCTAGATACAACTTACAGGATTCCAATTTACAGGAAATACAGAGCATAGAGGGCCAAGTTCAGCTGCACCATGGAGATGCAATTGGCAACTATCTAGACTGGGGGAATTCCAGCAGTGTTGTCCAACAACTTTCTGTGATGATGAAAATGTTCCATAACCTGTGCTAATACAGTTGCCACTAGCACATGTAGCTTCTGAGCGCTTGAAATGGGACTAGTGCAGCTGAGAAGGTAAATTTTATTTTATCTAATTTTAATTTAAATAACCACTGTGACTAATGATGACCCTAGTGGACACACAGCTCTGGGCCAGGGGTCAGAAAACCAGGCCTGTTAAGAATGGTTTTTACTTTTTTTAAAGTGCTATACAAGCAGCAATAAAACGTAGCGGAAACTGCAACGTTATCCACAAAGTCTTAAAAACACCCACATTTTTGATCCACAAAACCTAAAGTATTTATTTCTGGCCCTTTATAGAAAAAGTCTGCTGACTCCTGTGCTAGACTGTGGGACAAACAATGCAGCTTCTTTAACCAACAAATTGCCATGGGAAAACTGGGAGAGATGGAGAGGAAATGCATAGATTTAAAGAGGCTTAACCGAGTAGCAACCAATTACAATGTGTGGGCCTTATATGAATCCTGATTTAAACATTCAAACTTTCAAACACAAGTGACATTTATAAGACAAGTTGAAATCTGAATAGTGACTAGATATTTGATGACAAGCAATTGCTAATTTTTAGATGTGATAATGATATTGTGGCTTCTATTTTTAAGAGCCATGTGTATTATCTTTTTTTATATTATACTACATACATTATGCTATAAAAAGAGCCCTGATATTATAGATACATGGGAAATATTTACAGATGAAATGATGATGGTATTTGCTTCAAAATAACATGGACCGAGGAGTGGAAGAAGTGAGAATGGAGCAGAATTCGCCATTAGCTGATCATTGTTGCAGATGGTTGGTAAGATTCATCATACTGTTCTGTCTACCTCTGTGTATGTTTGAAATTCTCCATGATAAAAAGCTTAACCAAATACCTAGGAGATATTCTATTGCAGGTTGTATGTCAGAAGCAGCAACTGAGAGGGGAGAGAATTTGCAAGTTAAATGCAAACACCTTGGGCTGACACTGTGGGGCTGGCAACTAGGGATATGCATTTTCAGCAAGCTCCCTAGGCGATTCTTATGTTCACTCAAATTGGAAAAACACTGATCAGAACAGAATGATTACTGTGTAAAATTACACGATCACTTCCAAGTTAATCTGTTTTGTATTAAGATTTTACACTATTAGTTTTCTTAAAGCAAACCAAAGTTTCTAACGGTCTCTTTTGTCATTGCAAGTATGATTTTAAGTATTCCTGTGCAACTCATTCTATAGACATGTTTAATGAGCAACTACTATTTGCCATATACCATGTTATGTCTCAAGGAATGCAGTAATCCTTTAAAATAGGTATTATCATCTCTGTTTTATATTGAAGGAAAGTGGGGCTCAGAAATTTGAGTAATTTGTCCCAATTTATAAATCTATTAAAGGATGATATAACATTTGAACACGTCTTCTGGTTCTAAAGCCCGCATGCACTTTTTACAGTGCTGTTACAGAAACATCCTACATACAGCGTTCCAGGGCAGTTTCCCATGGTAAACTTCAGTACAGTGGTAAATACAGCACATGGCCTTCGAAGCTACAGAGATTCAGGTACAAGTATCAGTTCCTCCACTCAGCATCAGTGTTCTCTTTATTTCCTTGTAAAATGGAGGTAAAAATGAACTATTGCCTAGGGTTCTTTTGAAAACTAAATCGTAACATGTACATAAAGTGTCTGACACATTTTAAGTGCTTTATAAATGGGAGATGCTATCATTATTATTTCAAAATTGCCTTCACTTTGAGAATTTGCTTTACATTAGAGAAACTGGGATGGAATTTCAGAGGTTTTCTGTCCAGAGACCATTTCCAGGCACATCTATCCTTGAAACACACAGTATCAAAATATGGAAATCCCCAAGTCTCTTGGCATTTAATTGTTCTCATCACCAAAAAGTTTTTCCTTATAATTAACTGAATTTTGTTGCTGTGATTAAAATACATCCCCTGTGCCCCCAATCTCATTTTGTCTGTAGAGAAGATGGAGAACATGCAGAGAGTGTCTTCCCCCCATGCCCCCAATGCTGTGCTATACCCAGATCGGGTCAAGCCTTCTATTTCTCATACCGAGAATTTTAAGTTAACATTAAAAAAAAATTAGTGCAGCATTATGTCATGGCCACAAAGTGGTCAAGGACTAGACCCAGGAGTCAGCCTGCCTGACAGCTTGGGTTTGAACCCCAGCTCTGTCTGCGACTTGAATAATTAATTGGATTTACCTATGCTTTATTTTCCTTTTCTGTTAAATGGGAAGTCTACCTTATAGGGTTGTTGTGAAAATTAAGGGAGTATAGAATAAGTACCTAAGAACATGTGCCCGGCATTTATTATGCTTAATGTTAGCCGTTGTTATTATAGTTTTTTTGATTAGCTACATCAACACTCTATTATAGAGACTGTAACCAAAACCACAAATGGCAGGTAGTCTGACAAGACTATGGATGCCATTTTTGTGACCCCTTCTCTCCTCCTCTGGTCCCAGCCTCTCACTGCAGAAACTACTTTTGTGGGCTTCGGACAATAGAGGAGCGCTGGAGTCCTCAATTTCATCTAGCAAGTCCTCCCTTTCCAATACCACATCATTTGCACTGTCATTATTACCCATCAAGATAATGAAGGCTTTTTCTGATCTTTTTCCTCTGCTCCAAGAAACCAGATCTGCATATTCTAAATGAACCAAAACTGATGTTTAAAATCTTGTTCATTTCACTGAAATTAACAACTTACAATATCAGAAACTATTAGCTTCCTCTGAAAGTTGGACTTAGGCCTCCAAAAGTATTCTCTCTCTAGCTACTATTTACTGTGTGTTTAAGGTGTACTTTACATACCCTTAATCATGTAATCCTCCCAACAAAATATAGCCGTACCATCGCCGCCAGGAAACGGGCAAGAGTCAAGTAACTGAACCTGAAGATTATATTTGCATTTAAAGGATGGAGAAAGGATTCTAACTCTGTCAGGTCTAATTCTAATTATAGGCACTACCAAACACTTTCTTTTAAAGAATCTAGGAAATAACTTGCTTCAACCTCCTTTCTAAAAAGACTTCAGCCGTGCCTGATGTGCGGTTATAGATCTGCAGGGAGAAACGACTGGTGGCTCTTTCCAGCAGCAATGAAAGGACCTGCCGGTAGAACTGCGAGGATGGGGGCTGTCGCCACGGTCGGTCTGCAGCTGACACCGTGGGTCGCGTCGCTTTCCCGGGTCTAAGACGGACCCTGGCGAGGAGAGGGGCAGTGGCAGGGCCTCCCTCCTTCCCTCCGGGGTGCAGCGAGGCCGACTCACCTGCGTGGCCTGCAGCCGCACCCGCACCTCCCGCATCAGGAAGGGCTCCAAGCCGCGGCCCGCGGTGCAGAAGAAGCGGGCGCCCGCTGCTGGCCCGGATTCAGGATCTCCGGGCCCGGCCGCCATGGCGGCTCGGGCGCGCCCTCGCGGTTCAGGGGTCACGTGGCCTCGGGCGCGCGCAGCGCGTTCCCTCGCCCCCAGAGGCTGGAGCTCAGGGGTTGGTGGCAGGTGGGTGGAGCTAAAGGCCTGCCGGCTGAGATCGCGAAGGTCAGGTCATGTGGGCGTGGCCCCAAGTGAGTCGCCTAGGTTAACTGCTTAGAATGTCCTCGATTAGGCATCTGGAACGATTTAGAATTTAGGTGGAAGGGATGCCATTGATCATCTAATGCGTCTGCTTTATTTTTCAGATTGAAGAGGTCAATGCCTAGAGAGGCCAAGGGACAGTGAGTTACTGGTACCGGTGAGGCAGGAACTTAGACATCTTAATATCTAGTATAATGAATCTTCTCCATTCTCCCCAACTTCCTCGTCTCTCCTTCATCCCTCCTCGCTACTCTCTCATAAGGAGGCTCGCTCTTATCTTCACCAAGAATTGGGCCAACGCTGGGAATCCCCAAGGCCAGGAGCAGAAATACCCACTCTCCAACTAAATGTCTTGATGTTCATGAAACAGCGCACAGTTCTCAACGTATTTAACCATCAAGGCAATGAACGCACGATTTAATTTAGGTCACCTCATTTGATGGGGTCTCTTAACAGTACTTGAAGGGAACTTTCTTTTAACTCTGAATTTTAAAATGGCAATGAAAATATTCCTTGGGAAGAATAGAATCCATATTACAAAATGCACACCATTTGTTGTGTATTGGCTTCGTATGCTTTCAAATCCATTTATTTATGACAAGCAGGTTGTTTTAAGCCACTTGTTTATGACAAGACAAAAAAGTTGTTTTTAGAAGTAGTTTTGCTACAAGGTGAAGTTGTGTCAGGGTGTCATCATCTCATCTGTTGTCCTTGCTGAGCACTCAGTTTAGCTGCTGAGGGGTCACAAGGGGGCTTATCCATAAGAACATGTTGTAAAGCAACCATGGCAAGGGGATGTTGAGACCATAAATATAATTGATCTTTGAATAGCTTGGGGGTTAGGGACGCTGACCCCTGCTCAGTCAAAAATCTGTGTATGACTTTTGATTCCCCCAAAACCTAACTATAGTTGGCCCTTTGCATCCAAGGATTCACACAGTAGTCTCTATCTGAGGTAGGGAATGCACAGTTGGGAAACTGTATTTGTGAATGTGAAAAAACTGTTTCCATATGAGGTTGGTTGAGTCCACAGTTGTGAAACCCAAAGATACAAAGGGCCGACTGTATTTATTGAGAAAAATCTGCATATAAGTGGACCAGTGTAGTTTTTTCAAGGTCATCTGTTCTGAGAACTCATGAGAACTATGTGAGTTTTGGTCTGAGCAAAGTGACTTTTCACTAACCTAAAAACTCTGAAGATCCTTGGGGCATGTGCTTCTCTCTCAGGTGAGCTGTTACCTTCTAGAATGGTAACATTTTACCTTCATGTATTCATTCCCTAGCAACGTGCTCTAGCAACAAGAAACATTCTTTTTGTGCTGGCAGCTGGAGATCGGGTTTTGGGTGGTTGCCTTCTCCCCTGAAGTACCTTCTCATGTAAAAAGGTATATCTGATATTAAATTTGAACATCATTCCTTCATCTCCCCTTACCTGTATCAATAGTGTGATTAATCTGTCCTGTGTTTGGAGTACATCATTTCTTTATTGGCTTGTTAGGAGCTATTTTGCTGTATGCTGTTGACTTGTGAAGTTATTATAATTCCCACAGCTAAATAAATTGCTGGCAAAGATATGATCAGTCTCTAGGTGTAACTTTGCTGCCTCCAAAACAAAGTAAAACAAAACAGCATTAAATTAACTCTGTGGTGACATGAATAGATAAAGAGAAACTTTTAAATGAATGACTTTCTCTCCCTGAAGTGATTCCTATGTGCTTCCCTGCTCCCCACCCTCTCCGCAGCTTCATGGTCTACTGGGACAGTATCATGAAGATTTTTATGGAGTCATGTAAAAGGGCTTTTCAAAGGTTCAGTCCTAAGACTTCTCAGATCCTTCCATTTTGGTGAAATCCTCTTATTTGACTCCAGACTTAACATTCTCCTTCTTTCGGTAGTTGCTATAACTCTTTACAAGTTCTCTATATTTTGGGGTTCCTGACTCTCAAGTCCACCTGGGGAGACCCATGAAACCACCTTAGCACTTTCTACATTCCAAGATGGAAGCCTACAGATATGATATATCCCATTCATTTCAACAAATCCTGAACACCCACTGAAGCCCGACACCACCTGAAGTCTTGAGGATACAGAGACTAATGAGCAAAGTTGTGGCCCTCAAGGGGCTCAGAGGATGGCAAGATTGACTTATTAAGGATGTATCCAGGATGCTGTGGCAGAGCACAAGGGAGGCAGGGCGAGTTTTCTGGAGGAAATCACTCCCGTGTCAAGCGTTAAAGGATGTGTAAGAGTTAAATGACTCGCTGGGGATGGGAGTGGTGGTGGAGGGGTTGTGCTGGTGGCGTGTAGAAAGAGCAGCAGATGTTCTGTGAGTGTGTGTGTGTGTGTGTGTGTGTGTGTGTGGTGGAGGGGGTGGGGCAGGAAGGCCATGACAGGAGCTAGGTGTTATTAGAGCATAAATTATGAGTTGAGAAATGGATAGAGATAAAGGTGGAGAGGTGGGTAAGGACCAGGTTATGACAGTGCTGCCCAAGGTGACTGGTCAGCAACATGCCCTTTTGGATGGAACCATGGCTGAGCCAGTCTTCCCCTTACACCCTACTCCAGCTTTCCTTCTTCTGTTGTCTTCCCCCCTCCCCCCCGACCCCAGGAGGCTTTGGACAGCGAGGTCAGGGACTACTCTTCCTCCAGTTAGGGGGTCAAGTGAATTTTCTCACCTTTGGACCCTGCTTCAGCACAGCACTTCCAACAATGCCTTTCCCACAATACTTGAGATGAGATGAAATAGGAGTTCTACCTCTTTAGGGAGAAAATAATTGGGTTTCCGAGAGGAGAGTTGCCTGGAATTCTCTCCCCGTTACACAAACACTCTGTCTTCCATCGTTTCTACTTGTGTTTTAAAAATGTCTCTACTGAAAAAGAACCATTGATTCCTACAGATGCTTAGCATATCCAGCTGAGTTTTGCTTTTTGGATATCGCATATTCAACATGTAGGACGCTGGAAGTAGACAGGAGCAATTTTAGAACAGATACACTTTTAAGTGAGGTGTTTCAGGAATTTAGGGCCTATCGTTTGCCTTGAGATCTTGTTCTATTTTGGTGTGACTGGCAATTCCTTTAGTTCTTAAAGGTGTTTGGTGTATATACTTAGATATTAAAATGCACATGGTTTAGATTGTGAGATTCTTGAGGAAGGGATGGCCTCACTCGTCTGGGCAGCCCCGGAGAGCACACTGGCTTGCTGGCCTGTGGAAGGCTCTCGGCAAAAGTGCACTGAATTGAATGGAATGGAACCAAACGGAAGGTCCCTCACTAAAGAAGGTTACTCAGCGGGGAGGAATTGCTGTAACCACCATCCCGGCAGGGGCCTTTGCGATCCAGATAGGGGGAAAAGGGTAGGGAACTGAGGTCAATGAGGGGCATTGAAGGGTATAGGAGGGCCCCAAAGATAAAATTTTTCACCACTTTGCAGTTGAGAGGGTTTGGTGGTGAGCCAGGGCCCCTTCTCCCGAGGAGATCAGGAGCCATGGCTATGTACCAACCCACGCAATTGCCAGGTTTTCCAAAATGCCTACTCTTTCCCTCCTTCCAGGCCAGGACTTTGCTTGGACTGTTCCCTTTGGAACCCTTTTCCATTTCTTTTCTTCAAGGCTAAGTTCAATGGCACATCTTCCATGATGCTCTCTCCTGCCTTTCTTACACACTTTTACTCACCTAATATTTTATACCTTTATCATATATTTATCCATTCTTATATATTGAGGCCATGGCAATGTGTCAGTTAATATGACAAAGTCCCAGCTTTTGAGAAATGTTCAGTTTAATGGGAGGTAACGGTGATGGTGCTGGATTGAGCAGAGAGATGTATAAAGCAGGCATCCATGGACACCAGTGGCGTTACCACCTGAACTCCGCCTCCTGTCTCTTACCCCATCGCCCACCCCGGTCCGTGGAAAAATTGACTTCCATGAAACAGGTCCCCACATGAGGGGACCGCTGGTATAAAGGATGACAATACAATGTGACATATGGGAAGGAAAGGAAAGCAACTGGGTTTGGCATATAGTAGGCACTTAAAGTAAGGCTGAAAAAATGAATTTATTCTGAGAGAGCATTTTCTATTTTTTGGCTTCTCATCTCCCTTGGAGCACCTTTGCCATGGAGGGGCATCCTCTGCCTTCTAAGGCCCACCTCCCTGTGGCAGGTATATAGTTTGTAAGCATCATGGAGGTTTGTTGAACTACTGTTGCTTATACAACCCAGCATAGTAACTTGTAAAGAGTAGGATTTTGTACATTTTTAGAATTCAGTTGAATTGTGGCATTGTGAATAGATACAGACGCAGAAGTCCGTCGGGCACATACAACCCAGCCAAGTCAGTGTGGATTACGAAAGAAAGAATGAACATAGTTTTATGGCTGCAACAGCAAAAGCAATTTGGGAAAAAGCTGTTGGTCACATACTGATTAAACCACTTATATGCACACAGTAATCACATTGAATGGTGCTTCCTTGAACATGCAATCAAGAAAAAGAAAATTTAGCAAAAAATTACTGCATTGTGTATGTAAATACTGCCTTTAAATGTTATTTATTCATTAGTGTTTATATCACTGTAGTTTTAATGTAGCATCAAAATTCAAAAGATTCAATCTTCATGCTTTAATGTAGAGAGACAATTCAATTGCTTTAGTTATACAGTGCATGAAATTATTTTGATGTACAAATAGAGTCTAGTATTTGCAGTGCTTTTTGAAAAAAATGTGCCGTGTATTTAATGCATATTTTGAAACACTAGGTTATTTGGTGTGATTTTATTTGTTTAAATATATTTTGAGCCCATAAAACCATATTTATATCTGATAGACCCTTATAATGTTCCAGTTGGAAGGGAAT